CTTCAAGGGCCACGTGGCGGAGCTGCTGCGCCACCCCCAGGGCGCTGACGTCATCACAGACCTGTACGACGTTGCCCCCCAGCCGCTGCGCAACGCGATGTGCGCCGAGCTGTACGGGCGCGAGTACGCGCTGTTTGAGGGCGTCGGCGGCGACGCGCCGCTCGCGGGGCAGGTGCGCGGCTGCGCTTTGTCAGAGGGCTTCGACTGGGGGTTGTGGTGCCATGCAACCTTGGTTCCAGGCACGCGGCGAGTCAGGAAAGCGTGCGGGGGGGGGGGTCATACACAGAGCTCGTCGGCATGTCGCTGCGCGGGGCGCTGCCTTGATGGACCGCTCGCCCCTCCTGCCTGCCTGCCAGCCTGCAATCTAGCTGACGGCGCCCGCGCTCCCTCGCCTCGCGGCTCTCGCGCCGCACGTGCCTCAGGTGGCCCACCTGCGACAGCTGCTGGACTCTGCGACCCCGGCCAAGCGCAAGGCGGTGCTGCAGCACCTCACGCGCTGCCTGCAGCCGGTCCTGGAGAAGGCGCTGCTGCACCCGCCCATGACTCACAGGTGGGCCAAGGGCCTGCAGGGGGCGTGTGTCGGGGCCCAGGGTGGCCTTGGGCGACGCCTCACCGCCGCGCGTCTGCTGCCTGATTGGAGCTGCTGCCAATGCATCCTGCGGGTTCTCCTTGGCGGCACCCATCTCATTGAACCCCGAGCACTCTGTCAAAGCTGTCCTCTCTCATCCCGCAACAGCTCTCGACCCCCCCCCCCTCTATCAAGCGGCACCCCCCACACAGCCCGTCCTCAGCTGCCCCGGCCACCCCAGCACCCCCTCCCTGTCCTCACCCAAGTTTCCGAATCCGGACGCCCACCCCACAAACCAACCAGGCTGATACGGGAGTTGCTGGAGGCCGCCCCAGGCAGCGTGGTGGCCGACACCGTCGACACGCTGGCCGCCACGGGCGGCAGCGTCCTGAAGATGGTGCACACCCACGACGGCGCGGCCGCGGCCTGCATGGCGCTGGCGTACGGCTCGCCGCGCGACAGGAAGCGGCTGGTCAAGGGCATGAAGGGTGCGCGGGGCTGGGGAATGGTTTGAGTGGGGGCGATTTGGGGTGCGGTTTTGTGGGTTTGGGTGTAAATGTGGCCGCGCGACATCAGGACTGACGTCTTCACCCCTGACTCTGCCCCCTTTGCCCTCTTCAAAGGCTACGTGTGGCAGATGGCGGAGAATGAGTGGGGCAACGCGGTGGTGGCGACAGCGCTCAGCGTGGTGGACGACACCTCGCTCACAGGCAAGGCCGTCGTGGGGGACATCAAGGTGCGGGGCTATTTGTGGACGAGGGGCTCACGCGTGGAGTTGAGGGTGGGGAGTCTACGTCGGGCTGAAGCCAGCTTTCACGTTTGTGTGCTTTTGGAAGGGAGCGCTTCATGCACGTGCGTGGCATGTGGGGTTTGCGTGTGAGTGAGTGTGTGTATGAGTGTGTGCACATGCGCAATCACACGCACGTGCATGTGCATGTGTGTGTGCACAAGCGCATGCACACGCATGTGCATGTGCGCGCGTGTGTGCATGCGTGCGTGCTCCAGCGCATGACGCGCTTGCTCGCCAGTGTGGACGTGTGCTGCTTCGTTGGCGTTTGTGCGCTGCTGCGGCGCTGGGCTCGCTGATGACAAGATCACCGACGGGCGGACAGAAATGATGCCATGTTGAATGTCGCGCCCCCCAGGGGCTGGCTGAGAGCCCCGCGCCGCGCCGCCGCGTGCACACCGTGTGTTGCCTGCCCCCGTCATGTTGTTGTCGCCGCGCTCGACAAGTGCAAGCCTCGCAAGTGCCATCGCCCTTACAAAGCAGTGCCCGCACCTCTGGAAGTTGCTACAGCCCCTTGGTGCACCCCGGAGCAATTGCATCTCTGCATGTCAAACCGCATGACAAACTTCCTGACAAACCGTCTGCATACACTCACGGACACGCACACCCTCTCTGACGCAACGCTGATTGGCACGACGCCACCCCCTTCCCTCCCGCCGCAGTCCAAGCTCGAGGACTACCTTGCCCACCGCCACGCGCGCCGCGTGCTGCTGCAGCTGCTGGCACCGGACAGCGGCCGCTACCTGCCGCCCGCAACCATGGAGATGCTGCGCCCGCCGCGCCGCACCGTGCTCGAGGCCGCCAACAAGGGGGCGGCGGGCGGCGACAGCGACGAGGAGGCGGAGGAGGGCGCGCAGCAGGGGCAGCAGCGGAAGAAGAAGCAGCAGCAGGGGAAGAAGAAGCAGGGGCAGCATGAAGAGGGCGAGGAGGAGGCGGGCGATGGCCATCAGCAGCAGCAGCAGGAGAATGGCGGCGGCGAGGGTGAGGGGCAGCCGCAGGAGATGGTGGAGAGGGTGCTGGGTGAGAGCAAGAAGGACCCCGCGGCGCGCCGCGCCGAGCTGCTCGGCGCGGGCCCCGACGGCCTCGGCGCGCTGCTCGCGCGCGCGGTCGCGGCGCGCGCGGGGGAGCTGTTGCGGGGGCAGTGGGGTTGCGACGTGGCCGGGGAGGTCGCGCGGGGCGGCGCGGACGGCGTGCTGTGGAAGGCGCAGAGGCAGGGCGTGGAGGCGGTGCACACGGCCATCGTCGAGGACGCGGCGCGACCGCCGCCAGCTGGCGGCGGCGAGCAGCAGCAGCAGCAGCAGCAAAAGAAAGGGAAGAAGCGGAAAGGGGCAGCGGCGGGGG